CTCTCTCTCTCTCTCTCTCTCTCTCTCTCTCTCTCTCTCTCTCTCTCTCTCTCTCTTTCCAGAGCTGAGGACCGAACCCAGGGCCTTGCACTTGCTAGGCAAGCTCTCTACCACCGAGCTAAACCCCCAACCCTGCCCCTTTTCATAATGCATCCCATTAGCTCAACCTGCTTTCGAACTCACATTTGGTTTGCTGCGTGAGCCACAGGCTGGAAATTCATGGACTCTTCCTTCAGTTTGAGCTAATCGAGCCCTACCGTGTGGCGGCCATTCCATCAGTGAGAGGAGGAAAGGTGATGAATTGAAGCGGCTCCTTGTGGGGAGCAGAGTAAGCCCCGAGTGAATGTGTAAGGAGTGGACGGAGTCAAGGAAGTTCAGAGTGAATCTGCAGTGTTGACATGGCACAACAATGCCTCAGACCCATGGAAACTGGCAAAGCCTTCCTCCCCATGAGGCTCAGAAGAATGGCCAAGCTTTTCTCCGGTCGAAATACTAGTGTTTGCAAATAATTGAGCAGTGTGTGCAAAGGCTAACAACCGCGGCTTCCTTCTCAGAGATGCCTGCAACCTGAGGCTGCTCCCCACCTAGGCCTTCTGGTGAGGCTAAGTCAGTCCTCCTTCTCCTGTGCATAATGGACACATGGAGCTTCTTGGAGTTGTGTAGTTCCCGCCCACCACCAGAGCAAGCACAGCGCACCTGATCCCAGCTTTTCTGTAAGTGTATCTGTGTGTCTGTCCTTTCTTCATTCCCTCATTACCCTAGTCAGGTTTCTAGGACCAAAGCCATGGCGGACGGACGCAGTGGTTCCCAGCACTCACTCCAGGTCTTATGTTCAATCCCCAGCACTTCCTTTTGCCCTCAAAGAGAACTGTTCTTCTGAGTCCAGGGAGAAGAAGGACAGCTGTACAGTGTGGTGAGGGCTCAAGGCAAGCTGGCTGTGTTCTCAGCGCAAACACTGGGAGACAGTCCACAGTAAGGGTGCCTTATTTATGGTGCACAAGGAGCCGAGGGTTGAGCAAGGCACGGTGCGTGGTCAGAGAAGGGAGAGAAGTAAACAAACGTCAAAGAAACCACTGAAGTAACTTCGCTGCTAGGTTAATAGTATGCGGGGCAACTGCTCTGTAGAATGACTTGACTGGAGTGCACACATACCATCTAACCCAGCCTTTCCACTCCTATGAATACCCATCCAAGTGTAACGTGGCAGAAGTCTAGGCGTGCTTGCATACACCTTCAATCCCAGGACTCCGGAGGGAGGCAGAGGCAGGCAGATCTCTGTCAATTCAAAACCAGCCTGGTCTACATTAGCAGGTTCCAGACCAGCTAATCAGAGCTACATAGTGAGATTTTGTCTCAAAAAGGAAAGAAAAAAGGAAGAACCAAATATTTGTCAATAGACAATGAATTCTGAGTCAATTGAAGTGATCTCTACAATGGAATGTGAACTAGAGAGTCATAGCAATGGGCAATAGGTGTTGTGTACTGACATACAAAAAATCTTCACAATAGTTTCATTAAGTGAAAAATGCAAAATGCACACACACACACACACACACACCTATGTATATACATTACTCAAATGGAAGAGGAAGAAGCACACCTATTATGGTTGTTATTTTAACAGGTATGTCTGGCCAGGTGTGGGGGTCCAGGAGGAGGGCAGAAGTATGTTCAGAGTAAACCTGGTTTACATGCAGCCACAGCCACGTAGTGAAACTATCTCAGAAAACTAAATTAAGGGGCTGGAGAGATGGCTCAGAGGTTAAGAGCACTGGCTGCTCTTCCAGAGGTCCCGAGTTCAATTCCCAGCACCCACATGGTGGCTCACAACCATCTGTAATGAGATCTGGCACCCTCTCCTGTATACATAATAAATAAATAAATCTTAAAAAAAAAATTAAAAAAAAAACTAAATTAATTGAGCTGGGTGGTGGTGGCGCACGCCTTTAATTCGAGCACTCAGGAGGCAGAGGCAGGTGGATCTCTGTGAGTTTGGGGCCAGCCTGGTCTACAGAGCAAGTTCCAGGACAGCCAGGGCTACACTGAGAAATTCTGTCTCAAAACAAAAACAGTTCTGTCTTCGGCAGCACGTATACTAAAATTGGAATGATACAGAGAAGACTGACATGGCCTCTGCTCAGGGATGACACGCAAATTTGTGAAGTGTTCCATATTTTCACAAGTGGCAGTTGCTGGCTATGATGGCTGTGTACTTTGGATCTGGATTTACTGCTCCCTTCTTCTTTTTTTTTTTTTTAAATTATTTATTTTATTTGCATTGGTGTTTTGCCTGCATGTCTGTGTGAGGGTGTCAGATCTTAGAGTTACAGACAGTTGTGAGCTACCATGTGGGTGCTGGGAATTGAACCCAGGTCCTCTGGAAGAGCAGTCAGTGCTCTTAACTGCTGAGCCATCTCTCCAGCCCTTGCTGCTCCCTTCCTTATTGTAAGGCACCAGCTACTTTAAAAAAATGAGGATATTTAATTCATCCCTGTAACAGATAGGAGATTGTCTAAGAGATGCGATCTGAAAATTGGATCAAACTCTTGACCTTTTATTGCTAAATAAAATTGTAAATAAACTACTGACATAAAGACAAAAAACAAGCCGGGTGGCGGCGGCGGTGGTGGTGGTGGCGCACGCCTTTAATCCCAGCACTCGAGAGGCAGAGCCAGGTGGATCTCTGTGAGTTTGAGGCCAGCCTGGGCTACCAAGTGAGTCCCAGGAAAGGCGCAAAGCTATGCAGAGAAACCCTGTCTTGAGAAAAAAAAAAAAAAAAAAAAAGACAAAAAACAAACCAAACAACTTTCAATTCCTCTTTACCCTGGCACCTTTTCCTCGTCTATCATCAGCTGGCCTTATCCTTGCTCCTCTGGGCCGTTTTACCAGCCTCCTGTCTCCTCCAATCCTTTTTCTTTCACTACAAAGCCACATAGTTGTTCTTAAGCATAAATCAGATCATGGGTTCACCAAGGGCTCTGTGGCTGCCTGTTGCCTCACCAGACCCCCGAGACCCCAAAGGCCGACCTTGGCTTGTCTTTGCCTCGGTCTCACCGCCTGTCTGTCTCCCAGGCAGCCCGATTGCTTTGCTGAGATGCTAAACTTGCTCTTGCCATGAGGCCTTTGTACTCACCGCTCCTCAGTCTAGAACCGTCTGCCCCCTAGGAGTTGCGCAGGGTGGCTTCTTTTTGGTTAGACAGGTTTTCAATCATCCCCCCCAAAAGGTGTTCTCTACCCGACCCCAAAGTAGGCATCTCTACCTGTCCACCCCCTACCCTCCCTCCCACCTAGGCCTCTATTACATTATCTAATTATTTTCTACCCAACATTCACTCATACAGGACAATGTGATTTGCATTTTGTGTCTTCTGTTTTGACTTAAGACAGAGCCCAGTGACTCTGGAGCCCGTGGCAGGGTGATCACGTATTCAAGGCCTGCCTGGACTATAGAGTGAGTTCAAGGCTATCCTAGGTAAGTTTGTGAGATTCTATCTCAAGATACAAGTAGAAAGAGAATGGAATACAGCTCCATGGTAGAGTCTTTGGCTACCATGTGTGAGGCCCTGGGTTCGATCCTCAGAACTGAAGGAAGGGGAAGAAAGGGCAAAGAAAGGGAACCCAACCCTGCTGTCGGTTCAGACAGCAATCTGAAACTAGAACACAAGCTAAATAGCTGAAGGCTCCAGATGGCACGTAAAACAGCCCCTCCCCCAGAGAAGACCAGTGCCCACACAGCCTTGCATACACGGGTCAGGATGGCTGTTCCACATGCCACCTAATACATGCATAAAATTCTGGAGAGCCCTCACACAGAAATTTGGTGTTTCATTTTAGACACAGTCTTACTGTTAGGGGTTCATTTTTGTTCTGAAGCAGCTTTGAGAGATAAGAGGAATTCCGGGACCTTGGGCCTGCATTCCTGAATGTAGCTGAGAGGGGCCAAGGAGGTACTAGCAGACCTGGGGTCAGCTCAGTGGAAATTGGGCACTGTCCTTGAGACTGGGGCTAAATCTGGGCTAAGGATCAGTCTTGGTTAGACTACCCCTATTCAAAAAAGATCATCTTGCTGGGCAGAGTGTCATGCATGCCTTTGATCCCAGCACTCAGTAGACTGAGGCAGACAGATATCTCTGAGTTCAAGGCCAGCTTGGTCTACATAGAGAATTCCAGGACAACCAGAGCTACATAGTGAGACTCTTGTCTTGAAAAAACAAACAAACAAAAAGCTACTTTTTTTTTTTCTTCCTAGACAGGGTTTCTCCATGCAGTCCTGGCTGTTCTAGAACTCACTCTGTAGACCAGGCTGGCCTTGAACTCACAGAGATCTGTCTGTCTGTCTTTGCCTCCCAAGTGCTGGGATTAAAGGCACGTGCCATCATCTCTGGGCTGAAAAAAGGCCATCTTTAGGAAGAAATATTTTTCCTGTCAGAAGCTTTTGAATTACTCTTCTTTGGACTAGGGAGGCCTTGTGCCTCTCTGGAGGACTCCTTCAAAGTAACTAATCCATACAGACCATTTCTTTCAAAGCTGCACCCCAGTCTCAAGGCTCTATAGTAGGCCCTAGATTGTGGCATGGACCTCGGACTGTGGACCAGACTGTCTCCTCCCTTTTTCTGTTTGTTTTCAAGGCTCTGACCTGAGGGCTGGCTGGTGAGGTAGGCAGGAGGGAGGAGCATGAGTTCATACACACACACACACACACACACACACACACACACACACACACACACACTCCTTTTGTGCCCCCCAGGCTGGTCAATGATTGACCGGCACTTCACAGGCCACTGGTTTCAGACCCTGGCTCAGTGACCCTTAGAGGTCACCTCCAGCATCCAGAGCCCCTCCCTGCCCCTTCCACGTTGGTGATCCCCCCCCACAGCCTCTTTTCTGCCTGCCCAGGGTCTTCTCCGTGAATCTCTGGGCACCTTGCTTCTGGGCGGAGTACAGGCCCTCTGTCCTACGGGCTGGCCTTCTTCCCTCCCTGTCTGTCTTCAAAGTTCTCTCACTGGGCTTGTCTCACAAACTCTCGGCCTCCAATGCCCACACCCCCCTTCTCCCCAGCCTCCCCCCTCGCTCTTTGTCCCCAGACATCCTCTTTCCTTGGCTTCCCTGCCAGGCCTTGCTAATGCGACAGTTGAGCAGAGAATCGAATGGGCATCGCCCACCCTGCCCCCCTTCCTCTCCGCTTGTCAAACACCCGAGAAGGTTTTTCCTTTCCTTCCAGGCTCTCAATGCACTCTTTCTCTTGGGGAGGCTCAGCCCTCTGGAGCCTCCTCCCCAGGGCGTGAGTTCTGACCCCAGCTCCTCCTCCTCCCTTCTCCTCCCCCCCCCCAACCCTTGCCTGCTCCGCACCCAGGCCCCGCCCTCCCTGCAGCCCACTAGGGCTGAGCATTGTCTGCAGCGCTGGGTCTGGGATGCCCAGAACGTGGGCTTGCCTGCAGGAAGGACAGAGAGGGGAGCAGAGATTTTTACAGACGGAGGAGCCCTGGTGGTGGACAGAGGAGCCACTTCGGCTCCCCTACAGCAGTCTGGGGAGAGGGCTGGCTCATGGGCCCCTCGCTTGAAGATAATGTTGATGCCAGTGCTTCCGTGGCTCAGCTATGTGACCTTGGAAAGTTGCTTTTACCTTTTAGAATCACAGGGTGCCTCGTCGGCAAAATGAAGAATAAGGATACAATACCTGGGACCTCAGGAACTCCCGAGAGGAGGGATGTGGCCGCAGAGTGATTCAGAGTCGGGGTCCAACGACTGAGGCCATCGTCAGCAGCTAACCGGAGACGGAGGGGCAGGGCTGGGGGAGGACACCTTTAGTCTGACCTTAATGGTCTTAGCATGCCAGTGTACAGCCACCAATGACTCTGAGATCCAGGGCAGTCTATCATCTCCCAGAAGAGCTGAGGAACATATAGGTTAGGTCCTGGGCTGGAGGATGGGGCCAGGATGAGGACTTGGTTTTGCTGAGGCTCAACTATCCCCATTGCCCTAAAATGTCCTGGACAAACTTCTTATTTTTTTTTTTTTTTGACCCTTGATTTTCATAATCCTCAAATAGGGAAGTGTGTCTGTCTGTGTATTTCATTTTGTTATTAACATTTTTGGCCTCAAACCACCCAATCCTCCTGCCTCGGCTTCCCAAGTGTTGCGATTGTGAGTATGAGCCACCGTATGTATTTGAATGTTGGGGTGGGTATTCTAGGGCTGCCATGTCACGTTACAGGTCAGTATTTCTTGAACATTCCCGACGGCGATCCAAGGAGTAAACCTTTTGACGTCATCATCTCATTTATATGTAAAAACCACATGTGATTCTTTCTGTATGTGATGTATGTGTGCACGCATCCCTTCTCTCTATTCCGTGTCTTCTCCCTCTCCCCTCATCTCCACACCCTGGCCCCATTCATGCCAGGCGCACGCAGTATCACCAAACCACAGGTCCTGACGTCTTGTTCTACTTCTTAAAGAAACAAAACCAGGCTGAGTGTGGTGATGTGCACCTGGCATCCCAGCACTGAGGAGGCAAAGGCAGGGGAGTCACTACAGGTTTGAGGCCAGCCTCCTCTACATATTGAATTCCAGGCTAGTCTACAGAATGAGATTTTTTCTGTTTGTTTGTTTTTCAAGACAGGGTTTCTCTGTGTAGCTTTGGTGCCTGTCCTAATCTCGCTCTGTAGACCAGGCTGGCCTCGAACTCACAGAGATCCGCCTGGCTCTGCCTCCCGAGTGCTGGGATTAAAGGTGTGTGCCACCACTGCCCGGCCAGAATGAGATCTTTCTCAGGCCAAACCAAGCCAAACCAAACCTTTGTCTCTGGCCTGCTGGTCTACTTGGGTAAGGAGGGTAAGTTTCCGGCCCTTCGTTTTCACTCACGTGCCTCGTTTTGACTAATAACTTCCTACCCTTCTTCTTAGAGTACCTCAAATTGATCCCCACAAACATCGAATCTGCCCCAGCACTGCTAAACCGGGGACTGTGTGCTCCGCAGTTATTATGTGTTGTGCACCGCACTGCTGAGTGCTTCTAGAATGTTCTCTCTTAGCCCTTAGCTCAGTATGCTAGATCTTACAGATTTGTAAGCCAAGACCCAGAGATGGTTAGTCACTTGCCCAAGGTCACACAGCTAGTGTGTGATCAAGTGAAGATCTGAACTCACAACATCTCAATCCCAGAGTCCCATGTTC